TCTTCGTGAAATTTTTATTATGTATTTTTTACTTATTTCTCCATTTTTTTATGAGAGAAGAATTTTCTTTTAACTTTAGAATTTAATGAATTATTGATACCTATGTTGATGAATCAATAAATAAATACCTGCAGCCTGCTAGTAACACTTGTCTATACATCTCAACGGTACTTTTACCACCGATTTGCCTGCCGCTTAGGTAGGTATTGTGACTGGAATTAATGTAATAATGCGCAAGGGGTTGGTCCATGTCCATCCATTCGTCCAATTTATCCAAAAACACTGGTGCATTTTCGTCTGACATTAAATAACGAATGAAGCCCTCCTTGGTTAAAGACTCTGTAGATAATAAAGAACATATTGCGTTTAATATTTTAAATAAATAACGCACCAAAATATTAAAAATAATTTTTAGTCACATTAAATATCATTTTCTGAAATCATACACACAGTACATATCCTATGTGAACTGTACCCTTTGTTATTAAAGGGTCATTTTACGTGTACGAAAATACCCAGTGATACGTGTCATGCATTTGCACGCATTTTTATAAATATCTTTAACATAAATTAAGATAAAATGTACGTACAAACATAAATATTCATAAATCTGTTATATTTTCAGAATTTTCATTTATATGTCGAGTCTTTGCGAATTTATTGTTTATCGAGGAATTATATGTCATGTAATTATTAATTACTGCTTAAATTTTTAAGCAATACTGCATAAAAGAAACTTTGAAACTTGTCAATTTTCTTCTGCTCCAGAAGGATTTCTAAAACTGATGTGCAAAATAAAAATAAAAAGAAACAACGATGCTACAAAATAAATTTTAATGGAAAAATGTATATTCCTACTCAAAGTTAGTTTTCTTTTATAAAAATTTTACGATTACCTTACCACTAATTTTAAAAGTTTCAAGAATTGGCCAAGTTTTTAATTAGATTCCACGAACATTACTTTTATCATGAATAAATAAATTTTATCTTCTTTTGTATCTGAAGTTCTTTAGAAAGTCTGTATATGCATAGTTCGACAAAGCAAAGATGAGACTTCAGACGGGCCTTAGGGTCTAAAAGTGGGAAAATTGTGACGTCATCGTTGTTTATTAGCCAATAACGATAGAGTAAGGCTACTCTTCCATGAACAACGATAGGCAACGATCGAGTCTTGAGTTAGCAGTCGGTAACAGATAAGCAGTCGATAATAGATCAAAGGGATAATTTCGAACGCTAGTAGTCATACTTATAATTTTCATTTTATCTTTATGAAAATAGTACCAATGGATTGGCGAGAGTCTCCTGATGAAAATGAATTCAAACACGACATAAATCGAACTAGCCTTAAGAGTAATCACTTTTAAAAGTATCCTTGAAAATCTGAGATATTTAAATTGATGACCGGTAGAACTATTCTGATTTATGTCGTGTTTAGACTCATTTTCATCAAGAGAATCTTACCAATGAATTGATACCATTTTCATGAAGATAGGATGAAAATTAGAGAAATTGAAATTTTTGATATGGATGATTCATTGCAACGCAGATGGTATCCCTGTCAAGTGCCGGGTTTTAATCCTCGCTTCTTGGCGCACGAAATCCATCTCGTTTACCCTCGTTTTGTCTATTCTCTTTCTTTGTCGATGGCAGTCATAGCCCTCGATTGATTTTAACTGTTCTTTTATTATCGACAGCTGATCGAGAACCATTTGCCTGAACCATTTACCTACACCGCAATTTCCTCTAAAGAGGCGGCAGTGTAGAACTGAAAAGTAGTGAAGATGGCGTGTCTGCCTATTTTCCTCTTATTTAGTGGGATGGTAACGTCAGAAGCCTGCTCTTGGCTTTGTTAATCTGTAGCTCTTTACTATCTCGTATAACAACGACAAAAGGTACAAAATATAATTTGAAGAACTACTGGGTAATTAAAATTCAAACTTTATAATTGAAGGTATTTTCGAAAGTAAACATACTTGCGTTTTTTGCTTTATCATCTTGCTCGTAGTCATTGATTATTTCCGTACATCGTTTCTCATCATAAAGAGGGTACAAAATTTCGTTGAGACGAGGATCCCTCTGCTTCTCGTTCATAAATTGTACTAATTGACCCAAGTTAATCGTGTCTGATTTTCCTTTTGTTCTGAAACGTGCCATTAATTCTATAATGATCGTTGTTCTGAAAGATTTATGGTTAGGTTCACAGTGTGGTTATTGACGTATGTAACTAGTACTTACATCGATTGGAATAATTCTTCAATATCGTTACGAGGGCAAATTTTAAAGTATAAGGTTTTAAATTTGTCGAACGTAAAGTCTTTAGGTTCAATTTTGTCGCTCTAAAAATGACAAAGTTTCTATAGTTATTTAATTCAGTTTTACGCTACTTTTGACATCTTATTTTAAGAAGCAGTCAGTGTCCTACAATTTCGTGCTAATTCGCTGAATACATAAATTGGAAAGGTAAAGCCGTAAGTGTATTCTAATAATAGAGCATTCTAAAAATATTCCACTTTTATTTCGAACAGTAAATAAGTTTGTTAGTAAGTAGGTACTAACTCAGATGTCAACAATATGAAAAATCCAAAAGTGTTAATATTAAAACTATAATACAGTGTACAGGAGAAATACTTTAATATGAGAATTTCTGTCAGTTGACTACCACACTTTTTTCAAATTATATTTCTGTAACTCGAAGTTAAATTAACGCTTGTTAATTTTACATAAATTAAGTATGACAAATATTTTTCAGATTTTTTTGTAATATCAAAGTATACAGGGTGTTTCATCTTTGTTCTATATTTTTTCGTTACTCGTAGTTTAGAAACGCCTAGTATTGTCTACAACGCATTCTAAAGAGAATATTAAATCGTAGAATAAGCATACTTTTCCACTTGGCAAGCCCAAGTCCGCCAACCCTTGATAAACGAGTTTCTCCGTTTTCCCAGAGGCGAATGTTTTTGAAATAACTTTCACCGGTACTTTTCCTTTAGGATCCACTTGAAAGCTCAGTCTCATCCAACTGATTGATAAATGTGCAGATTAACGTGCAAAAAATTAACATTTCAAGCTGATCGATATTAATACGAAATTATATTTCATTATAAAATAATAAAATTGAAACAAACAACACGTACTGTTTCATTAGCTGTATAGTCGGGCAAACATTCGAAGCTTTCGTGTTATGCGTAATTAATCGCAAACCGGCTTGCCAATCCTAAAGTAAATAAATATAGGTATTTTAATTCGATTTTAAAAAATTAAAAATTAAAAAATTTTAATCAAACATTGAATGGATAATAGAAGCATTATTTCGTTTCTTATTATTTTTACCTTAGCTGTTTGTGCGTCTGCACAGACAACGTGCTGATAGTGAATATTAGTGTAATCAATACCCGAGCATATAGTCAAACTTTTTTGATCTATATCATCCATGGACCCATGTTTACTTATTTTATTGCATAATTTAGGATCCTGAACAATATCAAATTATACAGTTTATTTAATGTTACTCGGAAAATAATAATTGTACTAGCTTAGTAAGTACACAAATAAACAGTTATCGTGGTATTCACCTTTGGTGTGCCCCCGTAACGAATATCACTTACTTGAGCTAACTCTATTACGTCACCGTCCTGCATAAAAATGATTCTCATTAGAAAAATATCTGTTTAATCAAACTTTTATATGGAACAAACATTTTTTTTTTATTTCACTACCATTTTTAATTCTATTCATAGAAAAAGGAATTTATGAATAATTTTTTATAATTTTCAAA